GCTCTTGCTGTGAGTAATAAATTGCCCTTTGTCTTTGATCCAGGAATCTTGTGTCTTCGGCCAGCATCCATGAAACTGTGTCAGGCCAACTTGTTAGTTTGCAAGTAGGGTAAAATCTGAAACCCCTCACAGTTCTCGATACAACCTAGAGATTGTAACACACATCCTTGGCTTTACTGAAGGATAATTGGTACTTTAGCCTCTTTCAGAACAATGGAAGGGTCTTAGAACCCTTTAACTTTGTTTACCCCCCTCCAGGCTTCTATGCCGTGTGTTGTTTTTAAGTAACATTTTTACTTTAAACCCAACAAGATATTGTACTGTCAATATCTATTTAGATTCACATACCTATTTACCATTTTCATGGGGCTTCATTTTTTTTCCTGCGTATTTGACCATCAATCTGGAATCAGGTTCCTTCTACCTGAAAAAATCTTTTTATATTTCCTGTTGTTGAGGTCTGCTAGTGACAAAGGCTCTCTCTCTTTCTCCTTTGTTTTTTTGTTTGTGTGACTAATGAAATGTTTTAATTTTAACTTCATACTTGAAGGGAAGTATGCTGGGTATAGAATTCTCATTGGCATTTATTTTCTTTTCGCTCTTTAAGGATATCATTCCATTATCTCTGGCTTCCATTGGTTCTTTTTCTTTTTTCTTTTTGTGAGGAAGATTGGCCCTGAGCTAACATTTGTTTCCAATCTTCCTCTTTTTGCTTGAGGAAGACTGTCCCTGGGCTAATATCTGTGCCAATCTTCCTTTGTCTTTTATATGTGGGATGCTACCACAGCATGGCTTGATGAGCAGTGCTAGGTCTGCACCCAGGATCTGAACCTGTGGACCCTGGGCCACCAAAGTGGAGTGTGGCAGCTTAACTACTATGCTACCAGGCTGACCCTCTGGCTTCCATTGTTGAGAAGCCAGCTGTCGGTCTAACGACTACCCTTTGAAGATAGCTTTTTTCCCTCGCTATCTTTAATATATTCTCTTTGCATTTTGTTTGCGAGAGTTGTAGTATGGCACATGTGTCAGTTATTGCTGTTTTATAATATGTTGACCAATATGTGTCATTCTCAGTTATTGCTATGTAACAAACTACCAAACTTAGTGGCTTAAAACACATTTGTGGGCTTATTTAGCCCACAAATCTGCAATTTGAGCAGAGCTCAGTAGGAAAGCCTCAATACTACTTTACATGACATTACCTGGGGTGGCTTGTTTGCAGAATCCACTCGTAGGATGATTTACTCATAAGTGGCAAGTTGGTGCTGGCTGTTGGCTGTTCATCCAGGGCTAAGGGTCCACAGCTGAGTCATCTCCATGGGTTGCTTCAGCTTCCCCATGGCATGATGGTGGGTCCCAAGAGAAAAGAGATAGAAGCTTCCAGTCTCTTAAGGCCTTAGTCCAGAAACTTGCGTAGCATCGCTTCTGCCATATTCTATGTAAAGCAGTTACAGAGCCAGATTATAGGGTAAAGAGACAGATTCCCACTGCTCAGTGGGAGGAATGTCAGAGAATTTGAGGGCCGTGTTTTAAAACTTCCACAGGGTCTCTAAGTGTGGATTTCTACTTATTTTTCTTTTGAGGGGGAGGGCTCAAAGGTATTTTAAATCAGTAGAATAATGTTTTTCATCAATTTTGGAAAGTTCAGAGACATTAACTCTTCAAATATGGCTTCTGTCCAGTTCTTTTCCTATTCTGTTTTTTGTACCTCCACTTATATGTATGTTAGCTTTTTCATTATATATTCCATGTCTCTTATCTACTTTCCTATACTCTCCATTCTTTGTCCTTCCATGCTTTCTTCGGTTTGCTCTTTTCAGACCTATCTTTCTGTTCACTGGTTTTCTCTTCAGCAGTATCCAGTCTGCTACTGTACCTAGCCATGGAGTTCCTAACTTTGGGAGTTGTATTGTTTAATTCCGTAATTTCCATTTGTTTCTTTTTTTTTCCCCCAAGGAAGATTAACCCTGAGCTAACATCGGTTACCAATCTTCCTCTTTTTATGCTTGAGGAAGATTAGCCCTGAGCTAACATCTGTGCCAATCTTCCCCCACTTTCTATGTGGGTTGCTGCCACAACATGGCTGACAGGTGGTGTAGGACTGCGCCTGGGATCCAAACCCATGAACCTGGGCCACCAAAGTGAAATGTGCCAAACTTAACCACTACGCCACAAGCCGACCCCTGTTTGTCTTCTTTTGTAGTTTAAAGTTCTTTGCCAAAATTCTAAATCTTTTTTTTTAAAGATTTTATTTCTTCCCTTTTTTTCCCCCAAAGCCCCCTGGTACATATTTGTATATTCTTAGTTGTGGGTCCTTCTAGTTGTGGCATGTGGGATGCCGCCTCAGCATGGCCTGATGCCATGTCCGCAGGCAGAATCCGAACCGGCGAAACCCTGGGCCGCTGAAGCGGAGTGCATGAACTTAACCACTTGGCCACGGGGCTGGCCCCTAAATCTTCTATTTTATCCCCTTTAGTATTATCACAGTTAAAGTTTATGTCAGATAACTTCAATATTTGCAGCCCCCCACTTGTAGATCTGTTTCTGTTGTATGTTGTTTCTGTTAGTTTTCTTTCATATGGTCTTACCTCCTTGTGTGCCTGGTGAGTTTGGATTATGTGCTTGACCTTGGATTTGCAAACATGCTTGTAGAAATAATTTGAAGCTTAGCTTGATGTTTCCTTTGTATTTGCTTCTCCCAGGTACCTGGGAACGCTCTCAGTGAGGATACCTCAGTCCAGTTTCTGGAACTGAAATTATTTGAGGCTGAGCTGCAGTCCCTGTAAGGGTCCATGTACCTGTGGCTTGCTCTTATCCCTGGGGTGTAGTTCTTCAGGATCCCAACCCGGAGTAAGAGGTGGTCACCAGGGCTCTCACCTTGCAGACCCCTGGCCTCCATTTCCTGTCCCCTGAGTCCGTGAGGTTGTTAATGCTACTGTGTATCCCTCCAGCCTCTGAAATGACAGCAGCCCTAAATGCCAGGCTCAGTCCCTGGGTTTCCATGATTCCTTCCAGCCTGGCAGTTTGTCACTATCTGATTAGGTATCCATTGCCTCAAACAGATGCTTTTTATCTTTTGTCCAGCATTTCTGGTTGTCCCCAGTAGGCAATCTGGTTCCCGTTACCTAGTCTGCCATTAACACAAGTGGAAGTCCTCAGAGAGATCCCATTTTCTTTTGGTTTATTCCCATCAGCATTCAAATGCCTGATTGCTCTTTCCCCATTAGCTGTCTTTATTTGTCCCCCTCTACAGCAAAACTCCTCAAAAATATCATTTGTACTTGCGGTCTCCAATTTCTCACGTCCCATTCTTGCTGAAACCCATTCCAGTCAGGCTTCGGTTCCCGCCACTCCAACAAAAGTATTCCCGTCAAGGTCACTCCTGCCTCAGTGACACCGAGTCTGATGATCAGTTTTCGGTTGTCCTTATATGTGACATAGCAGCAGTATTTAATGTGGAGCACTTCACTGTTAAGAGGTTGAGGAGATGAAGCCAAAACCAGCCACGGCGAGTGAGGAGTGGCCCTTCCTTTTCCTCTTTTCCTGCCTTGTCTTTTCTGTAGCGCTTGTTGTCTGGTGGTCTAGTTAACATACTTGCTTATTTTGATTTTGACCTGACTCAGCTGCTCGATCTCCCCTGTAGAACACAGGCTCTGGGAGAGCAGGGCCCGTTGTCTGTTTTGTTCACGAATTTGCCCCTCTGTTTAGAACAGTGTCTGGCACAGCTCAGGCCATCAGTAGATGTTTGCTGAGCAGCTGCTCTCTGGGAAGGAGCAGGCGGGCCCTGTTGAGCCAGCACTCTGAGCACTGCCTCCGCTGGACCCTGTGGCCACTGGGCTTGTAGAGGACTGTGGGACAGAACCTCTGGTGTCAAAAGCCCTGGACAGAACTTTGAGTAACCGTCACTGACAAGTAATTGTTACAGTTTTTAAAGTGCTTTTACATCGCTATCTCATCTGATCCTCACAGCACCTCTGTGACGTAGGTGGGACAGGTACAATTAGTCTCATGTTTCACATGGGGCTCAGAGACAGAAGGGCTTTTTCCAAGGGCACAGAGCCACTTAATAGCAGACCTTGGACTCAAATACAACTCTTGAAAAATGAACAAAACTTTTTTTTCCTGATTATAAAAATTATATAGATGCATTGTAGAAAATTTAGAACCTACAGAAATGGATAAAGAGGAACATTTAAATTATTATACTACCATGCACATTTTTACATAGTTCTTTCCAATCATTTTTGTTTACACAGTTTAGATCAGATTGTATCATACAAACTTTGTATCCTGCTTTTTTTTTGGTGAGGAAGATTGGCCCTGAGCTAACATCCATGCCAATCTTCCTTTCTTTTGTATGTGGGGCACTGCCACAACCTGGATTGATGAGTGATGCATAGGTCTGTGCCTGGGATCCAAACCCATGTACCCCAGACCACCGAAGTGGAGCATGTGAACTTAACCCCTATGCCACTAGGCTGGCCCCTGTATCCTGCTTTTTTAACCTACCATTACAAAATAAACATTTCCCTGCTTTTTTGACATCTCGTTTTAATGGCTGCATAATATTCCACCACCTAAATGTACCATAATTTATATAATATTTGATTGCTGGGCATTTAAGTTAAACAACACTTATTTACTTCCTACTATGTGTGAGGTGCTGGGGACTTGAGATGTGACAGTCAAATTAGAAAGTGGATATATGACAGGGCTTTGGTAAAATAAAATATGAAAGCATCACATGATGATATTTAACAAAAAAGAAAGAAAAAATCTTTTCAAATAAAAGGAAAGTCCCAGCTCCATTTAGATGTGTGTAGGTATGTGAGGGGCGGGTCGGGGGGTGGGAAGGGAGTCTGGCTGGAGCGGGTCAGTCGCAGCCAGGGGCAGGCAGTGACCCATTTATGGGCACTAAGGCTTCTGATTCTGGCAGGGGTGTGGGCCGACAGTCCTGCCCGACTCCTTTCCATGTCTTCCTCCTCCATCCCGGCTTCCAGACTCTTCCAGCTGGAGGTGGAGGCCGATGCCCTGGTGAACTTCCAGCAGTATTCTTCCCTGTTGCCGCCCTTCTATGAGAGCTCCAGCCAAGTCCTGCACGCCGAGGTCCTGCAGCAGCTGAGCGACCTCATCCGCAGCCACCCCAGCTGGTCGGTGGCCCACTTGGCAGTGGAGTTGGGGATCCGAGAGTGCTTCCATCACAGCCGCGTCATCAGGTGGGTGGGGGGGACCTTGCCAGGACGGGCAGGAGGACAAGACCATTGGGACAGGGTGTGCACCTGTGTGTGCGGATGGGTGGGGCCATGGGGAGTCTCTCGGTCCTGCCTCAGTTCCTCTCCATAAGGTCAAAAGTTGCCAGAATGTTTGACTTCAGAAAGGGCGGCCTTGCCTCGAGGTTAGAGCGGAGGAATGCTGACCACAGTCAGGAGGAGAAATGTAGCATTTCCGCAGTGCCTCCCAGGCGCCAGGCCCGTGGTAGCTGTTTTATATCCACCATGCACTTGAATCCTCCCAGCGCCCCCATGAAGGATCGTCATCCCAGTGAGGTTGTGTGACCTGTGCAAGGCCGCTCAGCTGGAGAGGGCTGAAGAGGCTTCAGATCCTTGGCGTCTCCTTCCAGAGAGCTGGTTGCCCTTCTGGAAGCTGGAGCGCTTCCTTCTGTGTGTCCGTCCGCCAGCACTGATATCAGTGGAGGCCCCCTGGTGACGGCGCGGTGCTGGCTCAGGACTGCAGCCTGCCCTCTTGCCCGGAGGCAGCCATACCTCTGGTTCTCTGCCCTGAAAGCTCAGTTCAGCTCCCAGGCCCTGAGCTCAGAAACATTCACTACCCTTGCCAGTTTATAGGCGTCTTCTTGGACATCGTGGCGTTTGATCCCACAGCAGTTCTGTCCATTTCCTGGGGCAGGCACGGCAGGTATTGTTTTTATTTTTGTGTAGATGAGGGTGTTGAAGCCTAGAAAGGTTAGTGAACTGCCCGAGGTTGGTGAGATTTCCGCCTTCTGCAGTCCTTTCTATGTCGGCTCACTGCCTGCTGCAGGCTGGTGTGACCCTAGGGCACATCTCTCATACAGGTGTGCAAACAACTAAAAACTGATACGGATCACATCAGATGCAAATGAATTGTGACTCAGCCCTTGGTTTGAACCCGCCAGCTCAAGCATGGCGTGGATGCTCTTGCGCTCTCGGCCCCCTTCCCTCTCCTGCACTTGGGTTTCTCAGAGCCCCGCCCACCTGGTGCCATGCCCTCTCACCTGCCCGACCCTCACCCACAGCTGCGCCAATAGTGTGGAGAATGAGGGGGGCTGCACCCCCCTGCACCTGGCCTGCCGCAAGGGTGACGGGGAGATCCTGGTGGAGCTGGTACAATACTGCCACGCCCAGATGGACGTCACCGATAACAGCGGAGAGACTGCCTTCCATTATGCTGTCCGGGGTGACAATTCCCAGGTGCTACAGGTGAGCAGGGCTGGGGACACCTCACTGGGTTCAGGTGTCACTCTGGGCCCCTCACTGTCCCCCCTTGGTCCGTGAGGCCTGAGCTCCCTCATGGAGGGTGCACCCCTCCTCTCCCTCCCCACACTTGTCAAGGAGAGACATCCTTGGGCCACTTTGCTCTGACAACCTGGGCAAAGTCCTCCAATGCAACAAACTAAACTCTAGGCCCAGTCCAGTCCGTCCATTTAGTTCCGCTTTTCCTGAGCACCTGCTGGGAGCCGGACCCCTGGGCCGGGTGAATTCATCTCAGCCCGTGCCTAGAGGCGCTCATGGTCCATTGGGAGCTGAGCTTAACTTTTTACGGGAACTCAAAGCAAAACAAAACAAAATGTGGATTCATATCTATGATTCGTGCTCTCAGCGGAGGGAACTCTACTTCCGTTGTGGAACTCCACTGTCACTGAGAACCCAGTGCCTGGCGCAGTGGCACGTAGAGCCTGCCTCGATGTGCACAGGGGGCAAGTGCACTCTCTTATCAAGAGTCATGTACAACTGTGGCTGTCCTTTATTGCATGCTTGTCTTGTGCCTACCCTGTACTGAGTGTCATATGTGTTCTAGTTAATTCTCAAAATACCATTTGTTGGGTAGGGGTCATTATCCTCTCCTCACCAGAGAAACCGAGGCTCAGTGAAGTTAAGAAATGTGCCCAGGGAGGGCCACTGAGCTGTCAGTGGTGGGGCTGGCCCTTGAATCCAGCCTCCCCACTGTGGCCTCACCCTGCCAATAGGCCTAGCTGGTCACACAGGTACACAGGGGTCATAGTGAGCCTATGGAGACAGCATTCAGCCACAAGTGAGGCAATAAAAGCCTCTTGGCTCTCTTTTTATTTTATTTTATTTATTTATTTATTTATTTATTTATTTTTTTGAGGAAGATTAGCCCTGAGCTAACATCTGCCAATCCTCCTCTTTTTGCTGAGGAAGACTGCTCCTGAGCTAACATCCGTGCTCATCTTCCTCTACTTTATACGTGGGACGCCTACCACAGCATGGCTTGCCAAGCGGTGCCATGTCCACACCTGGGATCCAAACCAGCGAACCCTGGGCCGCCGAAGCAGAACGTGCACGCTAACCGCTGCACCACCGGGCCGGCCCCTTGGCTCTCTTTTTAATACCAGTAGTTTTTAAAATTGAAAACATACTACCTGCGCATAGCAAAAAAATTCAAGCAAGACAGAGGGTATGCAGTGGGAAGCAAGAATCACTCCCACCAAGGCCCCAGTACCCATCCCTGGATACAGCTTCCTGTTAAGTTTCTCTTTTTTTTTTTTAAAGATTTTATTTTTTTTCCTTTTTCTCCCCAAATCCCCCCAGTACATAGTTGTATGTTCTTCGTTGTGGGTCCTTCTAGTTGTGGCATGTGGGACACTGCCTCAGCGTGGCTTGATGAGCAGTGCCATGTCCGCGCCCAGGATTCGAACCAACGAAACACTGGGCCGCCTGCAGCGGAGCGCGCGAACTTAACCACTCGGCCACGGGGCCAGCCCCTAAGTTTCTTGATTCAGAAATTTTTCCTGCATGGCATAGTGATGCCACACCAGCCCCCAGCCAACGCTGGCACCGCTGGTGTCTTTTTTCCCTCCAAGCCTCCTCTCTCTGTTGCTTCCCTTGAAGTTCCTATCAGTGCTCTCGTGGAGTCAAACTTCCCTCCCCCTGAGTCCCCAGAGAGAGAGAATGTCACGGTGGGTGTGAGGGAAGCACCGTGCTCCTGCCCACCCCATGTCATGTGTCAGCTCCTAGGGAAGAATGCCTCAGCTGGCCTGAACCAGGCCAATAACCAAGGGCAGACGCCGCTGCACCTGGCCTGCCAGCTGGGGAAGCAGGAGATGGTCCGTGTGCTCCTGCTGTGCAATGCTCGCTGCAACATCATGGGGCCCGGCGGCTGCCCCATCCACACAGCCATGAAGTTCTCCCAGAAGGGGTAAGCCTCCCTCGCCCCCCTGCCCCACCCCATCCCGCCCCGCCCGGTCAGCTGGGCCTCCAGCTCTCGCCTGGCCAGTCCTCACGCCCAGGTGAGCAGTGGCCTCCACAGGCTTGTTAGATGTTTATCAGGTCCTGGCGCCAAGGGCTGGCCTGGCTCAAAGAAGGTGCGTGATGGATGTGTAGTGGGACTTTATCTCGGTTCACAAACTCCACTGGGGAAAGAATAGAACATTTTTAGTTGTTCTATAATGCACCTTAATTTCTGACCATTAACTTCCCTCTCCTAAAGTGGAGAAAACCAGTCTCAATATTTCCCGGGGTCCCCCCTTGCCACCTCCTCCAGCTGGTGCTCCAGGGCTGGTGTCTCATGCAACCCCAAGTCTTGGAGGGGCCCACCCAACCTGGGTCCCCTTCCCCCCGAGCCCACCAGCCTGATCTGAACCCTGCATGGCTGCAGTGCTCTGTGGCTTCTGTGCCCAGCTCGAAGCCCAGGAATGCTTGGCAAGGTAGCCCAGGGCCCCATCTGTTTAGATGTGTCTGTTCTTCCTGGCTGGTGGCACTGCTGGGGACACAGGTGCCAGGCCCATGTCTTAGGGAGGTCCAGACCACTGTGTCATTTCTTCCCTTTTCCCCAGACCTGAGAAACCCTGGTTTCCAGAAAATTCTTCTCCATGTGGAGTATGTGCATGTGTATGTATGTGTGTGCTCGTGTGTGTGTGGCTGGGGGGGATGTTAAAGAGATGACTATCTCAAAATATTACCCAGTGGACACAGCATCTAGAGTGAATGAATGAATGAATGATTCAGTCAGTCCCTCAGTCCCGGGCACCGTGCTAAGCGCTGGCCTTACAGAGATGGATAAGGGAACAGCTCTGGGACAGGGACAGAGAAGTCACCTAGTACCTTCCATGGCTGCCTGCTAGACAGGCAGCCAGAAGAGAGCACAGAGGGCTGCACTCAGGTCGGGGGACAGGCACTCTCGCCCTCCTTCAGGTTTTCCTTCCTCTGGGGTCTGCACCCACCTTGCTGGCCCCCTGGCACTGCCATCCCCTCGAAGGTCTGGTCCAAGCTTGGGCAAACCCTCCTTTCCTTGATTCTCCCTAGCACAACCAAGATGAGCTAGAACTTTCAGAAAGGCTTGGCCAAATGGTTGGGGATGGTACCAACACCGTGCTCACCCCCAGGGGTCAGGTTCCACAGCTGCAGGTTGCGACCTGAATGGACACTAGTGACGGGGGCTGCTCCTCTATACCCGCGGGCTGGCATGGCAGCCCTGCTCTTGCTGGCTCCAGCTGCCCTAAGCTTGCCTGTCCAGGGCCTGGAATTCTGGGTTCTCCCTCCTCAGGCACCCTCAGCCATGTTCCCTCTCTGCCCCACCCAGGCCTCTCGGGTCAGCTCCGATCATGAGAGGATCATTGGACATCACTTGACACAAGTCGTCTCATGCTGTGGGCAGTGGGCGTGCCCTCCTGCTGCACAGTCACATTCCTCGCAGGGCCCCTGAGGGGCCGTCCCTCTGCCCCCATGTGTTAGCCAGCACAGCTGTACTCTGAGAATCACAGAGTGATTTGGGTGACTGAGACTGCTTCCGGCCCAGCTCCAACCTGGGAGCCCCTCTGCTGTTTGTGTCAACTCGGCTGACATTCACAGAGAGCCAGGGTGGGGCCTGGGACTCCAGTTTCACTGAGCATAATGTCCTCAAGGTTCATTGGTGTTGCGGTACGTATCAGAACTTCCTTTTTAAGGCAGAATAACGCTCCATTGTGTGCATGGGCCACATTCTGCTTATCCATTCATTGGTCAGTGGACACTTGGGTTGCTTCCACCTTTGGGTGGCTGTGCATAATGCTGCTGTGAGCATGGGCTACAAATATCTGTCCAGGCCCCTGCTTTCAGTCCCGTTGGTTTTATACCTCAGAGAGGAAAGCAGCTGCCCTCTGAGCTGCCCTGCCTGCTGCTTCCTGCAGGATGCAAGTCCCCGCATGGGACACCAGCAGTGGAGGGGCAGGGGAGAGAGGGCGGCTGTGTGCCAGGCACAGAACCAGGTGCTGAAATGTCTCGTCTCCTTTAATCTCTCCCCCGGCCTGTTAGGACTGTCCCCACATTGCAGACCAGCTCAGCCACTTGCAGAGGTCACCAGTGAGGGAGCTGGGCTTGACCTCAAGCCTGTCTGACTGTAAAGCCAGCACCAGTGCGAGAGATCATTGCTCATTGGAGTCATCAGGGAAAGCTGCCTGGAGGAGGGGACATGAGCTGGGCCTTGAGGGGCTCAGTGTACCCCTGACATACCATGGTATACATGTTGGTTGGTTTTGTTGCAATTTCATTTGCAGAAACTCCCTAACCAAGAGGTGTAGCCCCGAGTCTGGCCTCTTCCTGCACCAGGCCGCCCCCGACCTTCCTCACTACCCTGCGGCTCCTCTCTCCCCAGGTGTGCTGAAATGATCATCAGCATGGACAGTAACCAGATCCACAGCAAAGACCCCCACTATGGAGCCAGCCCCCTCCACTGGGCCAAGAACGCGGAGGTAGGTGGAGTCTGAGGGTGCCCAGCGGGTGGGAGCGGGGCAGGGCCCCGGTCCTTTGTTCCTCAGCTCCCACAGGCAGGGGTTCCGAGAGGACTCCGAGGGTGGCACGTGGGTGGTTGACCTCATAGTGGGCCCCCAGGCAGGTGAGCCCAAGTTGAGATGACATCCTGGCATTGCCCTGCTGCTCGCTGGCATGGTGACGATGTCCCCTCTGCAGTTTCTTCCTGTACGAATGGGGAGTCCTATGGCCTGCCTTTGGTGGTGTTGTGAAGTCAGCGAGTAGTATGTGAGGAAATTCTTCATAAATTGTCAGATGCCTCGCAAACATAAGGTGATGGGTGACGATGATGGTGGCTCCAGCTGCATCCACAGAGCATCTGGCTGGGCGTCTCCTCTGAGACCTGTCCCGGAGCCATGCTCCGCACCCCGGGAGGGTGGAGGCCTCTGGTCTCTTGTCTCCAGGAAGCACAGCTCGGCAGTGCTCCGGGTGCCCCCAAAGAGCATGGCTTGCTCGTCAGCCTGGTGGGCCTGGAGGGAGGAGATTACACCTCTGCTGGGCACCTTCTTCGTGCCAGGAGCTAGACACCAGTCAGGCCCTTTCGTGTATGTTTCCTCATTCACTGTCACCCACTCTGTGAGGTGGGGACTTGCATCCCCATTTCACAGCAGAGAAAACTGAGGTGCAGTGACCCAGCCAGGCTCAGACAACTGCGATGAAGTGGGGCTGAGCTTTGGGCTCCAAAGTCCAGGCTCTTGAGCATGGCCCCAGGCCCCCCGGGGCTGCTGGGTGAGCAAGGGTGTGTGCTGCTTAAGGCCCAGGGAGGGGTCATACCTGTGCTGGGTCCCAGGGAGGGTCACAGGGAGTGGGGCACTTCTGGGACAGGGCCCAGAGGAATGCTTGTAGGGAGAGATGGGGTCCTGTGCGCTCCAGGAAAGGACCCAGAAGCTTCTTAAAACAGTCAGCACATCCTCAGCTTTTTGTCCCCTAGTTCCTGCGGTGCTGATGGAGTGGGAGCCAAGGTCTAGGGCCACCCCCAGACCTGGGGCCTGCCTCCTCGGTTCTTCTTGTTGCTAGAGCTTTCCAGAGGCCCGGTACCTGAAGGCGTGTCAGGGAGGAAGTGGCAGTGCCCCGATGCTGCCAGGTGCTGCAGGTCGCAGCTGCTCCCGGTGCCCCACTGACTCGGGCCTGACCCTGCCTCCCACAGATGGCCCGCATGCTGCTGAAACGGGGCTGCGACGTGAACAACACCAGCTCTGCAGGGAACACAGCCTTGCATGTGGCCGTGATGCGCAACCGCTTCGACTGCGTCATGGTGTTGCTGACCCACGGGGCCCACGCCGATGCCCGCGGAGAGCACGGCAACACACCGCTGCACCTGGCCATGTCGGTGAGCCCGAGCCCTGCCGTCCTCCCACGCACGGCCCCAGCTGAGTGCACATGTGGTGGGGATGCCTGAGGACCGGCAGGGCTGGAGCCCTCCCACGCTGCCCTTGTCCTCAGCTGCTTAGAATCTTCTTACCTTCTGAGACTCAGTTCAGACCCTGCCTCCTCCCTCAGGAAGCCTTCCGTGTATCCCAGTCAGCCCAAAATCACGTCTCCTTCCTCTGCGCTCTGGTACCCCTCACTCTCGTGCCTGCCACTTGACACTTGCGTGGTGTGAGAGGGAAAGTACAGCTCTGGCTCCTGCCTGTGACCTTGGGTAACTCACGTCACCTCTGTCGGCCTTGATTCCCTCCTCTGGAAAGGGGAGGTGCAGGGACCCGGGTGGCAGAGTGAGGGGAGTAAACGGTAGACGGCTGGTCTGAGGAATGTCTAATAACACGCAGCTCCTGGCGCGGAGTGAGCCTCCCACGGATGTTCCTCCTTCCCGGCACCGTTAGGGGAAGACGTCCATCTGCATGTTGTTCTTGCCTGCCCGGTGGACCGTGGCTGCTGGAGGGCAGGGCTTGCTTGAACATCTCGGTAGCCCATGGGAGGTGTTGGCCACGTTTTTTGGTTTGTTGTAGAACACGGTCCCTGCCCTTAGAGCCCCTGCCATCTGGCTAGACGACTACGGCACGAACATGGTAAATGCGGGGAGGGAGTGTCACTGCGTTACAGGCAGGGTGTGTGTGTGTGTGTGTGTGTGTGCTATAGCAATGTCACATGCACACCAGTCTCGGAGGGATAGAATCGGAGAGACTCTGGGACTCTAAAAGAAGTAGATTTATGACAAATTCTATGACATCTTGCTTTATACCAAAGGCCATAACCATGGAGGAGATACTGTTGCCCAAGAGGCGGAAACTAGAAATGAAACCGTGGACGTTTTTTGCACTGAGTGGGCCCTTAGAATGATCTGGTTCAGCAGCTCTCGAACTTTTTGGTCTATGTGGTCCCTTTATGCTCTTAAAGATACCGAGGGGGGCTGGCCCCGTGGCCGAGTGGTTAAGTCTGTGCGCTCCGCTGCAGGCGGCCCAGTGTTTTGTTGGTTCGAATCCTGGGCGCGGACATGGCACTACTCATCAAACCACGCTGAGGCGGCGTCCCACATGCCACAACTAGAAGGACCCACAACGAAGAATATACAACTACGTACCGGGGGGCTTTGGGGAGAAGAAGGAAAAAAATAAAATCTTTAAAAAAAAAACAAAAAAAATTACCGAGGATCCCAAAGAGTTTTTGTTTATATGGATTTTTGTGTGTCTGTATTTACCATATTAGAAATTAAAAGTGAGACATTTTCAAAATACTTATTAATTCATTTAAAAATAATAATGAACCAATCACATGCTAACATAAGTAACATTTTTTTATGAAAAACAACTTTATTTTCCAAAACAAAAAATAACCGGCTGAGAAGAGTTGGCGTCGTTTTACATTTTGGCGAATCTTTTGAGTGCCTGGCCTCGGAGAAGATGTTGATTCTCCCATCTTCTACTACGTTCATTCTGTTGCTATATGTTGTTGAATGTGTGCTGAAGAACGTGAAGAAAATCTGGCCTCGCCTAGATACGTAGTTGGACAAGATGTGTAGCTGCGCCTTTTCAGATCCTCGAGAATGTTCTTCCTCGCTATTACACTGAAACTGGATGGGGGGTAGTTTCTGACAGGTTGGTACCAGTGGGCGCTCTAAAACCATCTCCGTGACTTTTCACACTTTGTTACCTTGAAATCCTTTGGCATCTCTTGCGCTTTGCATGGATCTTTCTACCCATGCACGATTTCGTGTCGTCCTTGGAAAATACTGGTTCACCAGGTACGCATGGCTTCCAAATGTTGACTCATTTCCTTATACAGTTTCAAAACCCCACATCTGTAAATATCACCACCGATCTCATCAGAAAAGTCTTTCAGTTTTGGGAAACTGTCAAGCCCATCACGTCACATACAAGTTTTCCGGAATTCCAATTTTTGTTTGAAAGCTGGGGTTTTATCATTGGCACAAAATACTGCCGGTTGTTTTTCTTGAGGTGACACACTCACTGCATTCGCTTTTGGGAAATTCTCCTAAATACCCGAGGCTGAACAATGGTGGTCTGTCTGTCGGCTGTTCTCTCAAGTAGAGACGGTGTTCCGTGGGAAGAAGCAGCTAGTTCTGCTCGCAACTCAAACAATCGCACGAGTGCTCTTTCTCAGGACAACGTCATGCGTGGGTACACCACAGAAAGCTTTGTCCATGCTCTCCACGTTATGACACTGAACACGCAGTGTCGCAGTTGAAATAATTAACAATTCTTACTGCTTCATCAAGGGCATTCTTAAGTGGCTGGCTTTTTAATTAATTTCTTTGTCTTTTACTGTGAGCGCGTGGCAGAGAGGAAACCATGATGACTGTTGGTTTGGCGCCACTGCCTTGCTTGGTGCTAGGCACCAGCAGTTTTATCCACCATTGTTTTTACATCATAGGTGCAAAAGGCAAGCAACATCTTTTTTTTTTCTTTTGAGGAAGATTAGCCCTGAGCTAACTGCTGCCAATCCTCCTCTTTTTGCTGAGGAAGACTGGCCCTGAGCTAACATCCATGCCCGACTTCCTCTACTTTATATGTGGGATGCTGCCACAGCATGGTTTGCCAAGTGGTGCCATGTCCGTGCCTGGGATCCGAACCGGTGAACCCCAGGCCGCAGAAGCGGAACGTGTGCACTTAACTGCTGCGCCACCAGGCCAGCCCTGGCAAGCAGCATCTTGATATTTTTATGAAGACAGTTTTAGTCTGGCAAACCCTTTGAAGAGTCTCATGCATCCACGGGTCCACGGATCTTACTTTGAGAACTGCTGGTGTGGTTCATGGTTTCTCATTCTTCAGTCACTTGCATACCATTTTCACAGTTTTTGGCACATTCATGAACCACTTTTATAATTATGTACTTAATCATTTCTTTAAGTCGGCTTGCTTTTAAACTTACTTAAATTTATTTTGAAGGAAATGTTATACAGTCACGTGCTGCATAACAAAATTTCCGTCAATGATAGACCGAGTATATGACGGTGGTCCCATAAGATTAGTCCCAGAGAGCCTAGGTGTGTAGTAGGCTGTACCTTCTAGGTTTGTGTAAGCACACGCGATGATGTTCACACAAAGACATCGCCTAACAACGCAGCTCTCAGAATGTGTCCCCGTCGTTAAGCGATGCAGGACTTTATCACTACCGTAAGCTGTAAACTGGTGCCACAAATAGAAGGTAGCTAGAAATAAAGTGCATAACTCATGATTAAAATGCACATATTTAGCTGTGCCCATATAAATCCTCGCGGTGCATAAACAACTGTTTGGAAAACTCCATTCCATCTCTTCATTCTCCGGGCAAGGGAGTCAGGCCCCGAGAAGAGGGAGGTGGTAAGACCAGAGCTCAGGCCTCCAGCAGCCAGTCAGTTGGTTTGTCCTGGGAGCCATGCCCTGCCCTGCCGCCCAGCCTCCAAATGTCCACTGCCCAGTGCTGTGTGGAGGGGAGCGTGCCTCAGGGCTGCCACTGGGGGACTTGTACTTGGTTACCCCCTCAGAACTGGCACCCTGGACCGGATGGGTCCAGCCTTCTCTTTGCTCACTCACCCTCTCCCTGCTACTCCTGAAAGCGATCAGCAGCTGACCCTTCAATCTCCCCATGGCTCCTGGGTCAGGGGTCATAGATGCATTGCTTCCTTCAAGGAGGAGCTGGTGGGGTGGGGACTGGGGTGGGTCACTTCCAGTTCCTGCCAGGGTTGATAAACCCTCTCCTGGGGATGCTCGTAAGCCTGTTTGTCAGGGCACCACCTTCAAGCGTAGACCTTGGAGGGGCTCAGGTCAAAGGGTTGCAGTGTCTCCCTGTGCTGATGAGAGCCCCACCGGGCTGATGGGTAGAGTGGAAGAGGCCGAGGGTCCTTTTTCTCTTCATTTCTCTGAGCTGTGGCTTATTTTCCCCTTACTCCATCCTTAACAGAAAGACAACGTGGAGATGGTCAAGGCCCTCATTGTGTTTGGAGCAGAGGTGGACACCCCAAATGACTCTGGGGAGACTCCTGCCTTACTAGCCTCCAAGATCAGCAAACGTATGTGCTCTGCCCTCTGGGACCAGGTTAGGGGCGGGGGTGTGTGCAGGGACTAGGGAGGAGGGAAGTCCCAGGCTTCGGGTGCCAGCGTCCTGTCCAGGACCCGCCCCCAGTTGCTCCCTGCACTGAGTGGCTGGGGGGCTGAGAGGGGAAGCCTGCTCTGCCAAGAACAGGGGTCCTGACCGGTAGAAGGAGCCCGCCAAGGAGCTTGCCAAACCAGTATCCTCTTCTGTGGGGCCCCCATCCCACCTCAGGGTGCCGGGACCCCCAGGGCGGGGGGATAGGCAGCAGCAACAGCCCTCTTCCCCGCTCCTGGGAATTCACTAATAGGACCACTTGCAAGAACAACCATGGGTCGACGCGTGCGCTGCACTTTGCAAGTACGTGTGCATGCCCTCGTGCACACAGGCATGCTGCACGCACTGCATGCTCGCTCGGCGAGCCTTGGCTTCAGGGCTGGAACAAGCAGATCCCCCTCCTTAGAAGACTGGAACCCCCTCTGGAGGTCTTCAGGGAGCTGTGGAGGTTCCTGTGGGTATTTGCCTGATAGTGTGTGTGAGCGTGCATGTGCGTGCATACAAGCGTGCATGTGCGTGCATGTGCGCACTACTTTCTGTGGCATCCTTTTCAGTTATCCCATCCGTCAGATGGGAGGAAATGCCCACTGGCCAGCTGGTTAGTCCCTTTCCAGTTCTGAAAGGGACTCTCCATTCAGCAGTTGTGAAAATTGCTGACCATGGAGGTGGGAGTCCTGCTTTCTTGACTGGAGTCAAAGGGGAAGAGGGAATTCCCAAAATACCCGGGCAGGGCCACACCGACCTCCTTCTTCCCTTTGCCCTGGTTGAGCCCCGGTGCCTTCTCTGGCCCTAGAAGCTGCGTGTGCCCCAGGAAGCTGCTTTGGTTGTAACAGACCAGAGTCAGCACACCTGTCGGGGTGGGGTCAGGCCTCCAGGGCACCCCGGTTCCCCCATGTCCCCAGGCATCCTGGTGGATAGGAGAGGGGACGTGTGTGGAAGGAGTGGCCTCTCACTTGTATGTTGACATCGTTTCTGATCCTGTGTGATCTCCCCCTCCCCACACCATGAGAAGTTGTCACTAGGAAGGCGCTCTTAACTCTGCTGAGAACTGTAGGGGCCGACTGCCAGTTGCCACTCGTCTCGGTGGTCCCCGTGCAGCAGGGCTCCGCGGCAGCACACCACCGTGTCTCCCTGGAAAGATCTCAGCCCCCACCGATCAGCTTAAATAACCTAGGTAGGCCTCTGCCCTGTCACGGTCCCTCCTGTCCTGCTGTCCAGCTGGTTCTCAGGCACTTGGGGAGAGCAGTCCTGATCAGAAGGAAACAGGCCCCAGGGCAGAAGTCGCTGAAGGGAGCTAGGGAGGGTGGGGCGGGATCTGTAGCCTCTGGAGGCAGCCAGCAGCCCACAGAGCCCTGAGGCCGGCGGTGGGGGGGGGGGGGGGGGTCCCTGGCTCATGGCCCACAGTCCATCTTCCCTGAGAGGATGTCCTGGACACAGGTCTCAGGTCTGGGCATCCCCATGGCATCCATGAGGTGGGCGCTTCTGTGGCCTCTCGGTGTCCCCTGGGAGCTCAGGGTGGGCAGTGAGGAGCGCTGTCGCTGGCCCTCTGGCTTCAATGAGGAGTGTTTCTGCCACACTGCTGAGTCTCCGTCAGGCCTGAGGCCCGCGTGCTCCCCCGTCAGCCCCTTCAGTGACCTACAGGCTTTTGACTGTGGCCAGACAATCGGCAGTCTGCTGTGTGCATCATTACTGCCTGTGCAAACGGCCCCTTAGGAGTCGGGGGGCCTTTCTCTGGGCTTTCTGTGGGCTGGCCCACCCAGGGCCCTAGATTGTTTGGGAGCAGGGTCCCCTGAATAGGGCAGTCAGGAGCTGACCCTTGGCAAGCCAGCTTTTTTTTTTTTTTTTTTTTTTTTTTTGCTGTTGGCGAAGCAGACTCCAGCACCTCTGGACAGGACAGCCCAGCCACAGTCAGTCCTTCTGGCTCTGCCTCTCTCTGCCCCTTGCCCATCCACTTCCAGGACCTGCCCCCAATCTTTATCTCTCAATTTTACAGGCAGTCAGTCACCCAAACCAGGCTGGATGGTGGGCCTGGGCACGGCATCAGATGGGTAATGCCCTGGCCCTAGAGGGCCGCAGAGCCTGGCCACACCCGCTAGCTGTAGCTCTGCTTCCCTCTTCTTCTCTTTCTCAGCTGCACACCCAGACACATGCTCCCTTCCTTACCGCCTTCTCCCCGCACTCGGTCCACTGCCTCTCCCGGCTGGTCGCCTGCTTATCTGGTCCACTCTCTGGCCACTTGCCCTGGTTGAGGGGACCCCGCCTTGCAGCCTGCCTTCCTGCTTTGCTGCTTTCTGCTCCATGCACAGTGGTGGGGAGGGTCCGACAGAATCTGGATGATGTGGCATCGCTGGGCCAGGCACCTGGGGCTGGGCTGCTTGTCACGAGGGCAGCTACTCCATTGGGTGGACCTTGGGCACAGGGGAAAACGTGAACAGAGTGGACGGGTACATCCTAGGCCGCTGAGGAAATTTCCAGACCTGGGATCAGGACCGGGGGCATCTGAAGAATGGTCGGGGTATCTCCCTTCATTCATGGAGTTAAACCCCGAGGAACGTCCTGACTCAGCCATTTTGTCTAAATGACCTTGGACGAGTCAAGTAACCTGTTTGAGCCTCGTCTGTGGGTTGGGAATGATGCTTCTGGTGATGGCGGGTGTCGGCAGTGCCGGCCCAATGCATGAGCGTTCTGTGAACTGCGAGGCGCAGGACATGACAGGGGCGCTTGTGCTTCAGGGCTTTGGGAGGACGGCGTTGAGGAGAAGCCGGGGGGGCCGGGCAGGGGGGCCCCTTCCCAGAGCAGTGGGCTCCCCTTTGCGTTCCAGCCCGTTTCTCCCTGAGGGGCCTGTGGGCTCTGGATTAGCTGTATCCTGGGACAAAGAGCCCTTCCTGGGGGCAGGAGGCAGATGCTCCTGCTAGGGGAAGTGGTGGGAGGGCGCAGCTCCAGTTCGCTCTCAGGACCCTCGGGGTGGCAGGGACCGGCCCCTGCCTGGCCCCAGCCCACCCTGCCCTGTGCCTCGCAGAACTGCAGGACCTCATGCACATCTCCCGGGCCCGGAAGCCGACATTCATCCTGAGCTCCATGCGGGACGAGAAGCGGACGTAAGTGGAGGGGGGAGGGGGCCCCACAGGGGGCTCGGGCTCCTGTCTAGTCGTCACCACAGCCCTGCGTGGGAGCTCACGTCTTCAGTAGCTCACAGCCAAGAGACTGAGTCTTTAGAGAGCCTGGGCCTGCTGCTTCACCAGTGACTGTGCAGGCTCTGGGTCACACAGTAAAGCTGGCTGCAGTCCTGTCCCTGCCCTCTGTGGCCCTGTCGTGGTTTGTCCAGGGAGATGGCCCCGATGCCCCTGGAGAGAGACCTCCGTTGCTGAAGTGCTGAGCCTACTTGCCTCTGAGTCCACCCCACTCTGGACCCCTCCTCCCTCCACAGAGCTAGTGGGGTGGACTGGTTTCCCAAGCACCCGCTGGATACGCAGGCCCATCCTGGCAGGCAGGCCTGGGTGATGGGCACAAAGAGAAGAAACCCAAGCGCTGTCCTGGAGGACCTTCCCTGGCGCCCAGAATCAGTGCCTGCCGGCTCGGCAAATTACCAGGACAAACGTGTTTCCCACTGACTATGCTTTGCCCGCCCCGCCCTTCGTAAGACAGTTGGCTTCTTCTCTGTTTATTGCTATCCCGTGTTCCTCACAGCCCTCCTGGGGGGTATTAGTAGCTTTGTTTTACAAATGCAGAACATGAGTCCCCGAGAGATTAAGTGCTTCCCTCAAGGTCACACAGAGTGAGTGTCCAGGTCTTTGAGTCCGTGCCCTTTCTGTGACTGCAGCCTCTGTTCCGGCTGTGTCCCTGGTCCAGCCCTGCAGGGAAAATTCCCTCCCGGAAGCAGATGCAGCCCCTCTCCGTGGGCCAGGCAGCCGCACCTCGCCACTCTGCTTCTCCTCTCCTGAAGGAGCCGCCTCAGTTGGCATATCCCACTTGTTTCACGGCCGCCCTGTAATATGTGCCCTGGGGGTGACTGCCCATCAGCGTTCTCACCCTTGCCTCCCACTGCACATGCTGTGCACACCCACACGTCTGTGCAGGGATTAGGAGGGTCCCAGAGGGATTGGAGGAGAGGACGCAGATTTCCCACCAAGACCCAGGGAGTCTGCCTGAGCCTGAGCACCCTCCCTGGAGGTGGGGCTGAGGCGAGAGTCAGGACACCCCTGTGGGGACCGCAGCACGCGGGTCTCTGAGTTACATAGCTCAGCCCTGCTCCCTGGGTCAATCCCTCTATTGCCAGCCCCGCGTGCTCGGAAGGGCTCTTGCATGTTTGCTCTTGCCCCCCTGGCCAGGGGCCCTGCAGGCCTCCAGTGACAGCACAGCCTCCCCTGCCACCCTCTGGGCTTGCTGTAGAGCTGGGCAGCTTGTCCAGGAAAAGACGAGGGAACCTGGAGGCGGGCCACACTGGCCGCCTTCATTCACCAGCTGCCTATTGGGCACGTCCCATGCACACTGGATCCGTAGCATTGCACAGAGCAGAGCTGGTCCCTGCCCTCAGGGCGCTTCCAGCCCAGCTGGGGAGAAAGACAGTAAACAAGAGGACAAGAAATGGTTCCTTATGGAAGTGAAAAGTGCTTTACCCTGAGGAGGTGGCTGAGGCAGCAGCGAGCGGAGCTGGAGGGTCCTGACTGCGTCAGGGCAGGCTTCTTCCAGCAGTGACATTTAAGATGAGTAGGAGACCGACAGGAAGCTTCCGGCTCTGAGCACAGACTGTGGAGGGCTTCCCCTGGGGCAAGGAGCTGGGCATGGCAGGACCCAGGGAGGCATGTCAGGGCATATTGGAGAGTGGGGGACTCAGGAGTCAGCAGCCCCAGGTCCAGATCCCGCAACATCACTTAGCACCCGTGTGACTCTGGTCGGCCACCTAACCTCAGCTTCGTTCCTTCATTCCTGCACAGACATGTGCGGGTTAACAGGCAGTGCCTGCCTCAGTGGGGTTTGGGACATTTAAATGAATTCATACTGGTGGAAGCCCCTCACAGCCTCATAGCTCCTGGCACATAGAGGGTCCTTTCTCTTCCCTCCCCTGCTGCTCCCCTCCACCCATGGAGGGTCCTGACCCTGCTCCTCTGCCCATTCCTGGCCAGCTGTAGGATACCAGCCTGTTGAAATCAGACTTTTGTCTGGCGTCGGCTCCTGGTACTGGGAATCTAGACCTGTCCCCAGGGAGCTCCCTGTCCAGAGTTGGGGGACAGACCCAGGGTTCTGCTGAAGTGGCGCCTGGCCAGTGAGGCCTTCCCTGCACCTGCCCCCCTCACCCTCCTCTGTCGCATTTTTCACTGCCCCCCCCCCTCCCCCGCCGTGTCACACACAGGCTGTGAGGGCTTGGTCTTCACATGCTCACGTGGCTGCAGCTGCCACAGTGCAGATGCTCAGGGACATGGGCTCAAGTGCGGGAGGTGAAGGGCCGGGCTGTAGTGAAACCCGCTCTTTCCCACTGCTGTCCCCACTGCAGCCATGACCACTTGCTCTGCCTGGACGGCGGGGGTGTGAAAGGCCTGGTCATCATCCAGCTCCTCATCGCCATCGAGAAGGCCTCAGGCATCGCCACCAAGGACCTCTTTGACTGGGTGGCAGGGACCAGCACCGGGGGCATCCTGGCCCTGGCCATTCTGCACAGTGAGGGCAGCCCCCTGGGCAGTGGGGGCGGGGCAGGGTGGGGTGTGTAGACCAGCCCTTGGAGCGGGCTGAGTGTATCTCAGATCCTTGCCCAGAGGGCCGTGGGGGAGGGCAGCACTTCTAAGCCCTTTGTGGGGCGCCTGAGGGTGTTGGGGTCTAGGGCTGGCAGGAGAAGGGCTGGGGGGTTGGGCTGGGGTTTGATGCCCCCGCCCAGCCGTGGAGAACAGAACCAGGTGCCCTTCCTTTCAGTGTAGGAAGCATTTTTGTATCCGTTGCATCAGCGGCTCCTCCCCATGCCCCTGCGAGCCAGGCACCACAGGGCCTTGAAACCTGCTGGAAATAAGGCAAACTATTCTGATGGCAGGTGGAGCAGATGGTCTCAGGGGTGAAGAGCCACTAAGTCACAGAATGTCAGAGACCTAGTCTGCACGCTTCATTTACCCGCTGGGAAATTGAGGCCGTAGTGGAGAGAAGTGACCCAGAGTCACAGAGGCCATCTGAGGGGTTGCTGGGACTGGGCCAGCCCCCTAGACTCCCAGCCCAGCTCTTCCCAAGGCCACAGGCCACTGGTGCAGTGTGCTTTCACTGCAGCTTCACGAAGGTGACAGGGCACTTCACTTACTGGACAGACTTCTGAGTGGGCCTTGTCTTGACTCAAGTGGGGTCTCCTTTATGGAGCTCTCGGGGCTGTGAGAGTCTGCCCTTGGGGGCCCCTCCCAGAAGAGGGCCCAGCCCCACCCCGGCAGGAGTCGTCCTCCGCCTCAGCCCCCCTGACCAGCAATCCCTGCCCTGGTTGCGGTTGGGTTCCATGCTCTCCAGTATGTCTTCCAGACCTGAAGGCACCAGGAGAGGGACCCCCTGCTTCGGGGACAGCAGTGCCTGCCAGCCAGGACTGTGCTGGGTGCTAGGGACATGGGGCTGAGCCAGGCGCATGGTCAGGTCGGGGAGGCCCAGGCATCTGGGGCTCACCTTGGAAGGAGGCCATGGCCCGGCAGTCCAGGGTGTGCAGGGACGTGGGGCAGAGCCAGGCCAGGTGGCTGCCGGGAGCAGCGTCCCGTGGGCCTCTGGGAAGTGGAGGGTCTTCGGTGAGCAGGTTGCCAGGACTTGTTGCCCAGCAGTTTACTTCATTTTGATGGTTCTCCCCATAGCCCTGTGAGGCTATAGTTGGGGAAACTGAGGACCAGAGAGGGTCACCCAGTGAGTCAGAGCAGAGCCAGGACCAGGTCTCTCCCTTGGCCTCAGGGGCCCCATGGCCCCTCTCTGGTCTTTGTTCCTGTCTTCCTGAGAGGCGCCATCTCAGGGGCCTGCCTGCGCCCCATGGGGCAGGGCACAGTGGGCAGAGGTTCTAGCCTCTCCTCCACGGTGCGTCCCTCCCTTCTGCAGGGGACGTTTGTCCCCCTTCCAGGGCTATGGGAGGGATCTGAGAGGCCACCTGGTGCAGCCTCCCATGGGCAGAAGGCCCCTCTCCCCAGCCCCCTGCTGCCACCTTTGGCCGGTGAGGCCCACAGCCTGCCCCTTTGACCCTGTCTGTCCCCGGAGCCTCAGAGGACAGGGCAGGCCCTTCTGTTCCTCGACAAACAGTGGAACTAGATGTGGAAGCTTTTTCACTTTCAGGGCCCTTTTTAAAGGAAAACAGTACAAAATTATGAATGCAAAATTAAGGACAGAGCCTTGGGGCTGCTGAAGGGGGGCTTCTGCCTGTGTGGGAGGTGGCAAAGAGGGCCCGGGAGCTCCAGCTGGCTTAATCCGCCCCTCTCTGGCCTCCTCCGGCCACCACTGGCCTCTGGTGCCCGCAGCTGGCCTGGGCCCAGGCCCTCGGTCAGGGGCGTGGCCCTCGTGTCACCCCCGCCTCCGGCCGACCCCCTTGTTCCTAGGCAAGTCCATGGCCTACATGCGGTGCTTGTACTTCCGCATGAAGGATGAGGTGTTCCGGGGCTCGCGGCCCTACGAGTCGGGGCCCCTGGAGGAGTTCCTGAAGCGGGAGTTTGGAGAGCACACCAAGATGACGGACGTCAAGAAGCCCAAGTAAGCCTCCTGGGCGGGAGCCGGGCGCCCCTGCGCGGTTCCCTGGGGACAGGACTCCCTGCCTGGTCTGACCAAAGCTGGGGGTGGTGGAGGGCAGCTGCTTCCTTGTCAGCCGGGCTTCTCCCTGAGAGCACGGGTGCAGAACACCTCCACCTGTGTGTCATGCTTTTCCACCCAAACTGCACATCCCTGGGTCAGAAGGGTCGGTTCTGGTCCACCACACTCGGGATCTTCGTGTTGAGCACAGCTCTGCCCCAGGCACTGTGTGTGCGCGTGGCGGTGATGCACGTGACCAGCAGGTGGGAAGGCTCCCGGTCCGGTTGGGAGATAAATCACCTGAGATGTGGCAGGCCTGCAAGGCAGCGTGCCCTCAAGAGCTTCCAGAAGAGCCTACAGCATGGCTACTTCTTTGTAGTCCTCCCTTCCCCAGAATGACTTTGTTGTCTGTCTGATGCCCATCTCATCTGCCAGACCGTGAGCTCCCTGAAGCAGGAACATGAACACCTTGTTTGTCCTGTAGCCCCAGCATCTAGCCCACGGCCTGCCGCAGCGCAGGCCATTGAAAAGTGTTCATCAACTGACCAACCATCAATGGGAGCAAGAGGGAGAAATGACTGAGGAGGAGGTAGTCAGGGAGGGCTCCCTGGAGGAAGTGAAGTACGAATGAGGCCTGGAGGGTTGGGGAAGATTTTTTTCATATTAAAGCTTGTTTTTTTTTCATTTTAAGAATAATATATAGTCTTTTAAGAAAACTGGGAAAATACAGAGAGTAAAAAGAAGAGGAATGTGTCATCCATGATATATTAACCATAAGATAATATTTTGGAAACATTTTTGTATATTTCATCCTAGACATTTTTTTCTTTTTTTAATGGTGACATAGAACATACGTTTAGAAAAGTACATAAACCAGCTCAATGAATAATTAGAAAACAAACACCCACTTGACCACCAGCCAAGTTGGTAAGCCCCTCAAGCGTGTTCCCCCCGCCCCCTCAGGGTAGCCCCTCTCCTGACCCGTGTGAAGCAGGTTTCCCGGCTGTTCCGTGCAGTTCCACTACCTGCGCGTGGAACTCTGAACAGCATGGTTTTGGCCTTGCGTGTCCCTGGGTGTGGACAGAATCGTTTGGCGTGTTCTCTCTTCTTTCCGTCAGTGTACGTCTGTCATCGTGCTCTCTGCTGTTGGGTGAGGCTGTGCTTGGTTCGTTCTCGCTACTATGCAGGGTTCCGTCCTGTGACTACACCCCACGGTTTATTTCCCCGAATGCCTTCGATGGACCCTTGGGGAGTTGGGAGCTCCTACAGAGCGCGGTGGTGGACATCTGGGGACATGTTTTCTGACCCACACGTGTCCCAGCCTCCCTGGAGTCCACGCCTAGGAGGAGAGTTGCCGAGTCTCAGGACGCGTGGCCTCAGCGCCTACATTCCGCCCAGCTGTCTTCCAAAGTGGCGGCCTCTGTTTTCACCCCCATCAGCCGGGTCGAGAGGCCTGTTGCTCTGCATCCTGGCCAGCGTTTGATTGTCCTCAAATGTTTTTATCTTTACAAATCTTTGAGGGAGTAAGATGGTGTCTCTGCTGGTTTGAATTTTCATTTTCATGATTACTGGGGAGGTTGAACACCTTTTCCAATATTTAAAGGCCGTTTGAATTTCTTCTTTTGTAAAGTTCCTCTTCAAATGTTTTGCCTATTTTTGGCAAAATTGGGTTGTGTGATTTTGGAGTTAGGAGTCTTCTCTTAATAATCTTTTTTATATTTTGAAAACTAGTCCTTTGATGAGTATATAGATTTGAAATCTTTCCTCCCACTCCCTGCCTTGTCTTTTCACTCTCTGTGGCGTTTTGTAATAAGAGGATGTTCTTGAAGTGATAGAGTTTAGAAATGTTTCCATCTTGTAGTTTGTACTTTTCACGTCCGTCCATTCAAGAACCCTTCCCTATCCTGGGGCAGGAGCCATTTTCCTGTGTCAGGTCCGAAAGCTCTCCGGATCTGCCTTTCCTGTTTCGGTCTTTTATCAACCTCGAATTGGTTTTTGTATCAGGAGCGATCCAATTTCATGTTTCCACCTGAATAACCGGTCTCCCAGCCTCATCTGTGAAGTCTGGCTCTCCCTCGCCGCCTGGAGGCCTCCCTCCCTCACGGTGGGTCAAGGGCCCTTGCTCGGGTCTCTTGCTGGCTGAGCTCTGTTCCGTGGGCTGGACGTCTGTGCCTGTGCCCAGAGCCCGGAGCCCTAACTCCACAGCGTTCCAGTAAGTCCTGGTGTCGGGGGCAGCCGGGCCTCCCACCTTGTCCTCCTCCACGAGGACCATGGCTAATCTTGGAGGCCCTGTAGAGGAGTGGTTAAGAGCATGCACCCTGTAGCCTTTTCTTCTCGAAAGTGGGAATAATATACCACCTGCTCCCTGGGGTTTTCGTGAGGAGTAAAAAAATTATTATTTACAAAGCACCTAAAAGGCTTCCATATAAATTGTAGAATCAGATGTCAAATTCTACAGAAAATCAAATCCTGATGGGATTTTGGTTGAGATTACATTGAATCTGTCAGTTTATTTGGGGGAGAACTGACATCTGAAAACACTGAATCTTCAATTAGAGAACTTAGTAAAATATCCCATTTGTTCAGAGTTTCTCAGTACAGTTTTATGGTTTTATCTGTAGAGATCTTACGCATCTGTTGTTTTTATCTGTTTAGGTATTTCATATGTTTTGTGCTACTGTAAATAATACATTTTTAAACATTTTGTTTTCTAACTGTAGCTGGTGTTTAGAAATACCATTTGTTTATTTACTTTAAAATTTTTAATTGCGGTAAAATACACATCACATGAAATTTACCATCTTAACCTTTTTTTTGGTGAGGAAGATTGTCCCTGAGCTAACGTCTGTGCCAGTTTTCCTCTTTTTGTATGTGGGACACTGCCACGGCGTGGCTTGATTAGCAGTATGTAGGTCCGCGCCCAGGATCTGCACCTGCAAACCCCGAGCCGCCGAAGCAGAGTGCGAACTTGACCACTCCGCCCCGGGCCAGCCCCCCATCTTAACCATTTGTAAGTGTACGATTTAGTGGCGATAACTGTATTTACACTGGTGTGTAAGTGATCTCCTGAACTCTTCCATCTTGCAGAACTGAAACTCTTGCACCCGTTAGACAACTCCCCATCCCCTCCCCACAGCCCCCGGCGACCGCCATCCTACTTTCTGTCTCTGAGTTTGACTGCACTGAGCACCTCATGGAAGTGGAATCGGACAGTGTCTGTCTTTGTGTCTGGCTCCTTTCACTGAGCATAATGTCCTCAAGGTTCATCTGGGTTGTAGCACGTGTCAGAAGTTCCTTCCTTTTTAAGGCCGAAGAATATTCCATTATATGTCTGTACCACACTGTGTCTATCCCTTCGTCTGTCGATGGACGTGTGCACCGTTTCCACCTTTTGGCTGCTGTGCACATGAGTGCACGACGTCTGCTCGAGTCCCTGCTGTCCGTTCCGGGTGCCTCTGCAGAGAGAATTCTGATGGGCTCAGTTTGCTAAGATCTAGTGCAGGATTTTGCATCCATGCTCATGAGTGAGCTTGATCTTTGTTTCCCCATTTGGGGATTGCTGGGTTTTGGTTTTGGGGGAGTATTTCCTCTTTTGGTGTTTTCTGGAAGAGTTAGTATAATAGTGAGTTTGCTTTTTCCTTGGATTTTTGGAGAGTCTGCCAGTGAAGTGCTCTCCGCCTGGCGTCTGCTTGAGGGACGGTTTTCGATGATGGGATTAATTTCTTTGACAGTTCTAAGACTGTTAGGGTTTCTAAGTGTCTTTTTGAGTTGGTTTTGGTTTTGTTTCTCTGGGAACGTGTCCATTTGATCAGATCTTCAAATTCACTCGCGTAGAGTCGTCGGCAATATTCTCTTACTCTGTCCCAGCGTCTGCAGCATCGCTTGTCATGCCCCTTTTCATTCCCCGTATTTCCGCCGCCTGTTTTCTTCCTGATCAGTCTAGTCACAGACTTCTCAATTGGGTTAGTCTTTCAGAAAACCAGTCAGCTCTCTATTGTATGTATTCTGTTTCATTAAATTTCTGCTCTTATCTTTATTCCTTCTTGTACTTTCTTTGGGTTTACTTGGCTGTTCTTTTTTAAACTTGTTGAAATAAATGTTTTGCTCATTGATTTTCAGCCTTTTTTCTGTTCTACTGGATATGTGTATATATTATATATGCACGTAGCTGTATGTGTGGGTAATCTAAACATTTTCCTCTCCGTACTGCTTTAATTATATCCTGTAAGCAGATTTATGATTGTTTGTTTCAAAATATTTTCTAATTTTCATTATAACTTTTTTAACTATAGGTTATTAAAGTGCATTTCTCAGTTTCTAAACTTAGGGGATTTTCTAGTTATATTTTTCTTATTAATTGCTTTGTGGCCAAAGGACATGCTCTATATGATTTTGGTCCTTTAAAATTTGTCAGGACCTGGTTTTTGGCCTTTACAGTCAGTTTTTGTGCATGCCCCATGTGTAATTTAGAAGAATATGGATTCCACATTTGTTGGGTGCCAAGTTCTATACATGTCGATTAAGGCGTATTGGCTAGGAATGTTGTTTAAAATTTCCAAATCGTCCATATCCTTACTAGTTTTTGTCGACTTCTGTCAATTATTGAGAGTGATAGGTTGAAATCTCCTACTCTGGGAATTTTTGCCTTTTCGCCCTTTAGTTCTGTCAATTTTTCTTTTAATATTTTGACACCATGCTAATAAGTGCATAGAAATTTACGTTTTTGTGTTTTTTTCTGGTGACTGGAATCTTCTATTATTAGGAAGCAGCCCTCTTTGTCTCTAGGGATGCTTTTTGTTTTAAAGCCTGTTTGTCTGATATTAATGGAGTCATCCCAGCTTTCTTTGGTTCTATTTCCATGGTATATCGGTACTTGTTTTTTCATCCCAGCTTCTGGAATCCTGTGTTTTAGATGTATCTCTCATAAATAGCCCATAGTTGGATTTGTTCTTTGTCTAATCTGTCACTTTTTCTTTTTACCTGGAGCATTTAGTCCATTTATAGATTTTTAATGCGTAGTAATATATTCATTTAATTTAACTACTTAGTTAAGTCTGGTTTAGCTGATTGGTTTGACTCCAGAACCTAGTTAGTCTAATAGTTTATATGGCTGGTCCATTTATATTTACGTAATTACTGGTATATTTGGGATGATATATGCCATCCTATTTTGTTCTGCATTTCTTTTTCTCTTTCTCACCTTCTTTTGGAATTACTGAATAGTTTTAATCATTACATCCCACCTCCCCCCCCCCCCAGTAGTTTGAACTCTATGCACTCATTTCTTTTTTTTAGTGCATGCTTAACTTATAACAGCCTAAATTTAATTGATACCATTATCTTCCCCTCAGATGATAAAGGATTTTAAAATACTTTAATTCCATATTTCTTTCCCATCTTATCTATAACTGTTTTCCCATATTTTAAATCAATCTTGTTTTTTAAGCCTCACAAGACATTATTTTATTTATTTATTTTTTTGAGGAAGATTAGCCCTGAGCTAACATCCATGCCCATCTTCCTCTACTTTATATGTGGGGCGCCTACCACAGCATGGCTTGCCAAGCAGTGCCATGTCCACACCCAGGATCCAAACCGGCGAACCCCCGGCCGCCTAAGCAGAACGTGTGAACTTAACCACTGCGCCACCAGCTGGCCCTCTTATTATTTTTTGAAGTTGGCTTTCGTTTAGTTTTAGCCAGTGGTGTGCTGGTAAACCAGATCTTGAGGGGAAGAAGCCCAGATTTGTAGTGTTTGCCAATTCCCATGGCATAAATACTTCCACCATGGTCGGTTTTAAGCTACCAACAGCTTAACAACCAGCTCTGAGATTTAGCAATAGGTTCTTAAGGCCAGTCTGAGCTGGCTGCAGCACACCATTGGGTATGGATGTGTGTGTGTGTGTATATGTGCACACGGATGCATATGCGTATGTGTATGTATATGTGTGTATCACCTCTTTGCTCTGCGTTCTTTCTTGCATCTCAGACTTTCATCTCTGACCACTTTCCTTCTCCCAAAGGACATTCTTTTGACTTTCCCTTAGAGAAGGTCTGCTGATGGTGAATTCTCCACCAGCAGAATTGTTTGAAAATAGTTTTATTTTACTCTTATTCTTGCTGGGTATAGAATTCTAGGCTGGTGATTTTCTTACAGGACATGCAAGATATCATGCTATCATCTTTTAGCTTCCATTGTTGCACTTGCAAAGTCACTTTCAATCTGTTACTCCTTCGAAAGCAAAGGGTCTTTTTTCTCTGGATGTTTTTGTTTATTTGTTCCTTTGTTTTTGGTGCTCTACAGTTGTCCTATGATATATCTAGATGTGAGTTCCTTCTAATTTATCCTGCTTGGGAATTGGTGGTCTTCTTAAGTGTTTAGATTGGTGCCTTTCTTCTGTTCTGGAAACCTGAGTCATTATCTCTTCAACCCTTGCCTCTTCCTAATTTCCTCTCACCTCTCTTCTGGACCATTAAACATATGTTAGATTTTGTGTATCTTCCATGTCTTTTAACTTCTCCTGTATGTTCTCTCATTTTCTCTCTCTGTGGTTGCATTCTGGTTAATTTCTTCTTACTTGTTTTCCAGTTCACTAATTCTCTCTTTAGCTTTATCTAATTTTTCCTTTTAACCCATCCATTGAGTTTCTTATTCTCTTGTATTTTTAAAAAAATCCTAGAAGTACTCTTTGGTTCTTCTTCAAATCTTCTAGGTCATTGCTTATAGTTCCCTATTCCCTGAAGATATTATCAAGCTTGCCTTTGATGTCGTTACACATTGTAAGCACAGCTGTTTTATAATCTTTGTTTGAGGATTCAGCTATGTGCAGTCTGTGTAGGTATGTTTTGCTGTTTATGTTGGTTTAAGCTGGTTCTCGTTCATGGTGTTTTATTTCATTGTGTGTGCCCCCACACTTTTCTTCTGAACTGTGTAGTGGTGTTCCTCAGTGTTGAAAAATAATATGCGCAGTTTCTGTGAGGCCCAGAATGACAGTATCTTTCTTCAGAGTGTCTTGTGTTGTCTCTTCTGGGTACCTAGGCACACTGCCATCTGGGGCCACTGTAACTGAGTTCTTGGCATGAAGGTTTTGAAACTCCCCCCAGGTGATGTGAAATTAGACTGAAAATTCACTGGAGGGTTAGTTTGTGGTTATACATTTTCAGGGATTTTTTTTTCTACCTCCTTTGTCCAGTGGCAATTTTCCTTGCAGCCTCTAGGGGTAGGAAAGGGGCAGGTTTATTTCTGGTTCACCCTTATCCAAGAGTGTAGCTCTTAGGGGTCCCAATCTAATGTGGGGGTCACCCATTAGACCCTAACATTGGCTGGGCCCGGGGCTTTGACTTTTCCCCCCGGTCCCTTGAGGCCATCAGCACTGAGGTTCAGATTTCCTGAGTTTGGTGTCTGCCTTCAGGTCCCAGCAGGGTCTGTGTTCCATTTACCCCTCTGGGTTCTTCCTTATCCTCAGGGTTTACCCTCATCTGTCCTTTCTGTCTTGGCAGGTTTCTATGCTTTTAAAAATATTTTTTAAAAGATTTTTTCCAGCATTTAATTTTTGGTTCAGTGGGAAAGTTGTTGAAATAACCTCTCCGCAATATTCCCAGAAGTGGAAAACTAATCTTTTTTCCCTAGGTTGAGTGTTTTGTTCCCTTTCTTTTATATTTTTCTTGATGACATCACAAATACATTTCTGTGTTGCTCTGAAGTCCTTGCCAGCATAACTTTGAAAGGCTGCAAAACATCCCATTGTTTCCTTACCCCTTCTGTTCTTGCCATTTAGATGGGTTCATTTTTCACTATAATAAATTACACTGCAACAAATAGCCTTGTACAAGAAGCTTCCAGTTGTAGCTAAGATTATTCCTTTAGGACAGATTTTCCGAAATGGAATTCCCAGATCAGGGAGCCAGGGTCTTAATACATACTAGTTTCTGAGGGGGCTGTGCCCATCTCCACTCCCCGCAGTATTTGAGGATGTTGCATCTCTCAAGACAAGTAGGAGTCGTCTTTAATAGGTTTGTAGACGGACAGGTGGAACACTGAAGACGTATCAAGGTGACACGGTAGAAAGTCTCTTCCACTCCTGTCCCGGGGCTGCAGCCCCCAGCGGCCCCCGCCGCAGAGGCAGCGCAATGTTGCAGGTGCTGCCGGGGCCCTTCCAGAGCTAGCCTCTGACCAAGCAGATGGGTACACAGGTTTCTTCGGGTTTTGTTTTTAAATAAATGGGGGCATACGAAACACCGAACCGTGCTTTTCCACTTAGCCATGGGTCTTGGTGCTCGCTGCCTGTCAGTCCCTGCAGCCTTCCTCGGTCGTTCTCACACAGACTGCTGTTGGGGAGCCGCGCTGCGAGGGCCCGTCCGCGGCGGGCGTGTCAGTTGTCTCCAGTCGTTTGCTTTAACAGCCGATGCTGCTCAGCCTGTGCATGCCCACCCCCCCGCGTGTGAGAGCGTCTTAGGACGAGTTCCCAGAAGTGGGATCACTGGGTCTAAGGATCAGGCCACTGGCAGTTTGAATGAAGATTGCCAGAGGTGGGCTGCGAGGGGGGTCGGGGAGTGACCTCAGCCGTCTGCTCTTTGTTTTTCCCCAGGGTGATGCTGACGGGGACGCTGTCGGACCGGCAGCCCGCTGAACTTCACCTCTTCCGGAATTACGAGGCTCCGGAGTGTGTCCGGGAGCCTCGGTTCAGCCAGAATATTAACCTGAAGCCTCCAACGCAGCCCTCAGGTTAAACCACGTTTGATGATCTGTGGGAAGCGATTGGCCGAGAGGCTGCGGGGGGGCAGGGGACGTCGTGGGCTTGCCACCAGGCACACCCTGCCCACCACCATCCCACCCACTGGCCTGATCTTCTCTCGGGAGTCTTTATCAGCTGAGGGAGGCAGCGCTGGGGAGCTGTCAGGGCTCAGGCTGGCCCGAGGAGCCTCAGCCACACCCTGCCGTCCACCAGGCCAGCGGGGCCAGATGGCATGGCCTTGTCGGTCCTGCTGCTGAGCAGTTCTGAGCCTCTCCCTCTTCCCGCAGACCCGCCCCCCGACACACACACACCGAGATGTGAAGCATGCGGGTTTCATACCAGTCCCTTGTGCCACTGGGCCACCCTCCTCCCCCACCCCCAGACCAGCTGGTGTGGCGGGCAGCCCGAAGCAGTGGGGCAGCCCCCACCTACTTCCGGCCCAACGGGCGCTTCCTGGACGGCGGGCTGCTAGCCAACAACCCCACGCTGGATGCCATGACCGAGATCCATGAGTACAACCAGGACCTGATCCGCAAGGTGAGGGCCACCTCAGGTCAGAGGGGATGTGAGTGCCCACTGCAGCCACCCCTGTTTCAGCAAATGTTCCTAAGGATTGACTCCAGTTTATGTGTTTATTCATTTGTGCACTCACAGCAATTTTACCTCACTCTTGACCCTGCTTGATTGGCGGCGTCTGCCTGAAGCACTGTGCTAAGAGGGATTCTGAGGCCCAATGTAGACTGAGTGGTGAAGAGTGTTATGGTCACTTAACAGTGTCTGCTGTGAGTGGGGAGGGCAGCACGTGTACCAGTACATGCCAGTCCCAGTGTTAACCCCTGTGCCCAGCCTGGGCACACACGCCTGCCCTTAAGGAGCTCACATCCAGGGCAGACAGTCTGTGCACAAGGACATGCCCCTCCAAGTGCCTCGGGTGCTATGACAGAGGACTGGGCAGGGGCCCAGGAGGTGGATCACCTCTGCTGAGCGGCCGGGGGCTCAGAAAGGGCTCACAGAGGAGGGGACCCCATCCTGCGGCCTCTGGGGAGAGGGCAGTGCAGAGTCCATGATCTAGAGGAAGAGAAGTGGCCCTCAGCCCGAGGAGCTTAGCGCAGAGGCGGCTGAGGCCCCACATGCTGGGAGAGGCAGTGCAGTGCAGTGGTGTGAGCTCGGGCCCAGGAGCAACTTGGCCTCCGGGTTTGGGTCCTGGCCCTGCCTGGGCTTTGCTTCAGCCCCTGCAGGGGTTGCCGACGCTGCCTGCCTGGGGCCCCTTGTGAGGCTCCCACGCGCTCTTATCTGTATGGGGTTAGGGTCAGTGCCTGCCCCCAAGCATGCTGTGAGCTTGCTGGCTGTCCTTATCACTGTGGTCATCATGAAGCCCCAGATGCAGGGGCTCGGCAGTGGGAGAGGCGAGTGCCCTCTAGGGGCCAGATGGGGCACGGTGGGCTGCCTGGAGGAGGAGGGACGTGGTGAGAGACTGGGATGGGGACGGCTCCTGGGAAGATACAAGCCACCTCCCCTTGTGGATGCGGAGCCCGGGTAGGAGTGGCTCACCAAGGTCGTCCAACAGATTGGCAGCAGAGCATGTTCTGGAGCAAAGGGGAGAGGCAGCGCAGGCTGTGCTCCTGCCCCAGGAGGCCTGTCCCCCCATCACGCTCCCCCAGGGCCCCAACCAGCGGCTCTCACCCCTGGGTGCCCCTAACCATGGAAAGGTCCACCCAGGGGAAGGTTCTCCAACCACCCCTGTCCTGTTCCCAACAGGGCCAGGACAGCAAGGTGAAGAAGCTCTCAGTTGTCGTCTCTCTGGGGACAGGGAGGTCCCCGCAGGTGCCCGTGACCTGTGTGGATGTCTTCCGTCCCAGCAACCCCTGGGAACTGGCCAAGACTGTTTTTGGGGCCAAGGAACTGGGCAAGATGGTGGTGGACTGTGTGAGTCTGGGCCCCTCCCCAGGCCCCCTTCCCTCAGGGTCTCAGCCCCAGGGTGACACCTTCATCCTCTTTCTGGGGGCCCCTGGCTGTCGAGGAGGCTCTGTAAAGCCTCTTCAGCCAACTCAGTGCGGGGGGGGGGGGGTCCCTGATTCAGTCTCAGTGCTGGCAGGGACCCTACAGCAGGGCATTTCAAGTGTCTTGTACCTATGGATCCCTTCCTTCAAACACAGCCCCATGTGGAAGCCCAGAAGGTCAGATGGACAAGAGCTGCAGGGGGCGGGGGACGCGGGGGCCTGTCCACTCAGCCCCGCCCCCCCATGCTCAGTGACCCTGAACGGGCACTGCTGAGCCACCGGTGAAAACCATAGACTGTGCCCCTCTGATTGCACAGCTGGGACATCGCCGCAGCCCAAGGAGGGGACTCGCCCAGTCTCTCTGCTGCTGGGTGGCTAAGCCAGACTAGACCCTGGGGATCCCAGGAAGGGACCGTGGGTGCCGTGGGTGCTGGGTGCTCACAGGGGCTACTTCTCGCCAGTGCACAGATCCAGATGGGCGGGCCGTGGACCGCGCCCGGGCCTGGTGCGAGATGGTCGGCATCCAGTACTTCAGGTGAGGGCTTGGCCAACACTGGCCCCCGGGCCCCAGCCCCACACCCTGGCCTGACCGGACCTGGCGATCTTCCCCACCTCAGCCCAGGGCATGGCCTTCCCTTCCCCAAGTCCTAGCTCTTGTCTTCTGCCTGGGCCTAGCATCTTGGGTGACCCCTCCTCCTTGACCTGGACAGATTGAACCCCCAGCTGGGGACGGATATCATGCTGGACGAGATCAACGACTCGGTGCTGGTCAACGCCCTCTGGGAGACGGAGGTCTACATCTATGAGCACCGGGAGCAGTTCCAGAAGCTCATCCAGCTGCTGCTCTCGCCGTGAGGCCACCAAGCCCCCAGCCGCCCCCACCCCACCCACCTGCCCAGCCCCTGCTGGGGAGGCCTGGCGAGCTGGTCAGGGCTGAGCCCAGGCAGCTCCATGTCCACAGACCGGCCTCAGAGGGGCCAGGCTTCCTGCCCGAGGCTGCTCCTGAGGCCTCTCTCCCCTCTGTCCCCACCTTCTGGCACTTTTTGTCATTCCAGGCTTACAAAGCCTAGAGCCTCACTCTGGCCTCTCCCTGACTGCCAAGGACAACTGACTCTCAGGCCCGTTGCCCTGTCGGCTCTAACAGTAAGGGCACCCGGGCGTGTCCCCAGCCCTGCCTTGCCCCAGCCCGGCCTCCCAGAGGGCCCTGGGCTCTTCTAGATCCCCGGGGGAGTGCAGCGACCCCTGCCACCCTCTGCCCTCTTCCCTGGGAGCAGGGCTGAAGCAGGGGCTGTCGCCCACCCCGTCAGCAGGGGAAACCCAGGCTCCAGGAGTTGGAGCCCCATTCGACTTTGCTCCTCAACACACGCCCAGCCACCTGCACCCCTCAGAGCTGCCCCACCCCGCGAGCTCTCCTCAGCTCTCAAAGGTCACTCCTATGACTTAAGTTATTTTTCCCGACAGGACGTGGTTTATGATGGGGAGGGGCGCCAGGGGCTGCCTGCAAACTGTGAAATAAACTGTCTGATCCCAGGTCGCCTGTGTTGTGTGCACTGTTGTGTGAGTGCCCGCTCCCTCCCACCAGCACCCTCAGCCTTGACCTTCAGCCTTGACTGTCATCCTCCTGTGCCCCCTCGCACAGATGCTGTTTCTTGGGCTCCCCGGAGTGGGGACACCTCTTCTCTTCTCCAGGCCTCCCCAAATCAGGCCTGTGAGGGTGTTCAGAGGTGGCAGCCAGGCCCACCTGGCCCACGGTGTGGGGCAAGGGAGAGCCCCATTTGCCGAGGGAGAGCCCCATTTGCCGAGGGAGAGGACAAGACCCAGAGAGGGCAGGCTGCTCAGGCCAACCACACAGCAAGTGAGCAGGGCCAAGGTTTGCCCCCAGGTCTGTGTGACTCCAGGGTTTGTGCTGTCCCCTCTCCGGCAGGCGGAGGAGCTGGGCGGGCAGCAGCGGACATGGGCACCTTGGCCCTCAAGGTGCAGGGCTGAAGGGCTCAGGGTAGAGAGAGGCCTGAGCAGAGTGACGACCCGCCTGTGCACCTGGCCTCCAGGGGCTGGGTCTGTCAGGGAGGGTCCTGGAGGAGGGCGCTGAGCAGCTCTGGTCCCATAGGGTGGGCAGTGCCCAGCGCAGTACTGGCAGGGAGGGGTCCTGGCTGGCCTGGGGAAGCCTCGTCCTTGAGGAGGAGGTAACCTAGGAGAGTGGCCCATCCACGCGTGCTCAGAGGGGTAAATAATTGAAGGGCAGGTCACATGAACCCACCTGCGTCACAGGATGCTTCCCCCTGGGTCTGGTTACGCCCCAGATCGCCTTCTGACATCCCGGGCTGGTGAATAATTAAGCTGCCACCTCCTCCTCGGCCGGCCCTCCATCTCTGGGTCCCACACTGCAGCCTCCTTCACCCTGCTCCCAGAGGTGCCAACCTCCAGTGCTCCCGGCCCCGCCAGCACCACCAGCCTCCCGCTCAGCGCCCGGGTGCAGCCCGCTCATGGCCCCCGAGATGGACCAGTTCTACAGGTCCACCGTGGCCATCTACAAGGTGAGCAGTGTGCGGCCCAGAGCACGAAGGCCGGGCCTGCTCTGGAGGACAGAGGGTGAGCACGGCTGCGGCGTGTCCTGAGAAGGAAGGCCCGGAGCCAGGCTGGCTGAGCTGTGGGCGTGGGGCTGGGGCTCCCCGGGGGCAGCCAGCCAGCCCAGCCCCAGCTTGAGGCTCCCAGGGCAGGAGTTTGTCCACAGTCCTCCAGTGGGGGACAGGCCTGCTGAGATGGCACTCAGCAGGAGCCCCAACTCTCAGACGCTGGGCAGGCAGGACAAGGCCCAGGGTGGCTGTAGCTGCGAGCAGGGGGCCCGAAGAGCCATGTGGCCCAGGAGTGGGGAGTTTCTCTTCATCTCTGTCTCCCTCTCGTTTCTGAGCCTCTCACTCAGACGTCCTCTTCCCCTGCAGAGGGGTGGCCGCAGTCTCCCTAGACATTTGTGGAGCCCCTCCTGTGTGCGGGACCCTTTTACCCATAAGCCTCACAACACCCCCCTGTGGGGAAGAAAATAATCACCCCATTTGACAGATGAGAAAACCAAGGCCAGAGAGGGAGACAGCATCTTCAAGGTCACCAAGGGGGGAAGAGGGGCTGCTGGGGTTTGAACCAAGACCCAGTCTAAGTCCAAGCCCAGGGCTGTCCTCACGTCCTGGGGGCCTCCAGCTGGCCACGGCCAGGCGTGCCCAGGTGACCCAGCACAACATCACTCCCAAGGGGCTCTTCTTCGAGGAGGGCAGGACCTGCCCGCACCCCTGAGGGGACTGTCAGCAGCCCGCATGTCCAGCCCGGTGAGGCTGGGCTCGGGGCAGGGATGAGCCACCCAGCAGGGGCTGCGATAGACACAGGCTTCAACCAGTGGGAGGAGGAGAAGCTTCCGGGTGCATTGTTTTAGAAGCAAGGTCCTGCCAGGGCACCTGTGTGAGCAGGAGCTGGCCAAGGGGACCTGGCCTGGAACAGGGCCCCAGGAGATGGCCTCTGAGGCCCCCGCAGCCGAGAGCCTGGGTTCTGGGTGACTCCAGGCTTCTAGGTGGCTCCCCCTGAGTCAGGCTTCTCAGGCGGGCTGGGGACACCCTGCTGCTGAGGCCTGGTGACGTGCGTCTGTCATCATTCTTTCTTCCTCTCCCCCTGCTCCCATTGCCCTTGGGGTCCAGAGCATCATGGAGCAGTTTAACCCCGCCCTGGAGAACCTGGTGTACCTGGGCAACAACTACCTCCGGGCCTTCCATGGTGAGTGCCGGCCGTGGGAGCCCCTCCACCTGGCCCCTCAGAGCAGACAAGGCACCCCAACCCGTATTCTCTGCATCCACACCAGAAACTCCGCTCATCCTCATCCCCACACACTCCTACCCACCACCCTCACCCTCACCCCCGTGCGGCCTGAGACCCCTCACACAGCCACACGCTCCTGTGCCTGCTCCTTCAGGTGCCCCCTAGATGCTCCCAGAGAAGCAGTGCCAGGCCCCGCAGGCCTCAACCCCAACTACACACACCTCTACATGTCACCTCGATGCTGCCCAGAGAGCCCACCGCCAGCCCCAGGCCCGCCTCTGCACCCCCAGCCTCACGCCACGCTGTTCGTCCTCACCCTGACCGGCCCCCATCCACACACCTGAGCCAAACCTCACCGCTCGCTCAGGGCCCGTGCAGACCCTAGCTCGGCCCCTTCCCACAACACCCCTCCACCGGCGCTAATCACCAGGGGTGGCGAGCCCTCTATGGGATGGACAGGCCAGGGATCCCCGCCCCCAACCCCGGGAGCTGAGTGTGCCTAACCCCTCCCTGCCTTTTAGGACTTCAGAGTCAAAGCCTGCCTCCCCTACTCCAGCTCCACCCCGCGCCCTCCACCTGCGCCTCACAGCACACCTGTCCACACCCGCCTTATGGGCACACACCTGCTCAGCGCCAGGCCCCGCCCCCGCAGGGAGAGCCCACCCGAATCCTACAGCCTCCTCTCCTCTGGCCACTGCAAATGTCCACACGCACAGCCAGGGCACCCCTCCTCTCACACAGCCTCACGCCACGTCCCGCAGTGTCCCCTCCACACACTCTCTCCTGACGGAAGGAGGGGTGGGGGCAGATGGAGGAGGGGGCCGGGGCTGCACCCATCTCTCCTCCCCACGCAGCGCTGTCCGAGGCGGCCGAGGTGTACTTCAGCGCCATCCAGAAGATCGGGGAGCAGGCCCTGCAGAGCCCCACCTCACAGATCCTGGGTAAGCCGCTCCCCCTGCCACTACCTCCCCCACCTTCTTGGGCTTTGAGGGGCACTCCTCCTAGCCTCGCCTCCACCCCAGGCTGCCTCCTGCGTCCACGTACCAGGCCCCTCTGCCTGTCTCCCTGGTGCCTCTCCTCATGCCCGGGGCCTGTCTTGCCCACCATCCTGGGGGCCCAGAGGGGGCTCCTTTTAGGTTCTTACCTTTCCAGGAAGTGCGCCCCGCTCCCCTCCCCCACCCCCGACATCCCCCCAAGACACAGGCCTTCAGCCCAAGGCCCAGAGGCCAGACTCTTGTTCTGGAGCCCAAGCCCCTCCCCACCACTCCCCACACGGCTGTTCCAGGGCTGGGACAAGCGCTCCCAGAGTCCCGGAGCCCTGTGGGAAATCCCTGGACCTTGGTCCCGAGATCCAGGTTTGAGCAGCCCCTCTGGCAGCTTCTCTGGGGGAAGAAGGCAGGTGGGGCAGGCACCCCCACCGCAGCCACGGCTCTCTGTGCCTCCAGGTGAGATCTTGGTGCAGATGTCCGACACCCAGCGACACTTGAACTCCGACCTGGAGGTGGTGGTGAGTGTCAGACTCTGTGTTCGGAGGGGTCACTCAGGAGAATGGGCTGTGTCCCAAGGAGGAGGAGAGCCCACCCCCCCATCGTTTCTCAGGGAGGCCTTCCTGGTCCCTTAATGACATGACAGTGACTGCCCTTGTGGGCACCTGCCAGAGCCAGGCTCTGCTGGGCACATGTACCCGCAACGTTCTGTTCCAGCCTCCAGCGCCCCTGGGAGGCGGCTGCCATTTCTATCTCCATTTCACAGAGAAGGAAACTGAGTCTCAGAGATCTAGTCACTCGCCCAAGACACCAAAGCGAGTGGAGGAGCTAGGAAGAGAAAGGACCGTAGTCAGGCGCATCAGGTCCAAGTCCCTATGCCCCGTCAGCCTCCCGGCCCCGCCCTCCACTCTCCCAGGGAGCAGCGGGGATCTGACCTTGTCACACCCATGGGAAAAATCCTTCCACGCCCCTGCCGGCCGCAGCGCTAAACCCAGGCTCCTCCGCCAGCATTCCCGGCCCTGCCGACTCAGCAGCCTCGGTGTGGCGCCAGCCCAGCCAGCCAGCCGAGCTGCCCGCGCAGACCCGGCCGGGTTCCAGCCCCGCGCTGCTGTCATGCTGCCCTCGCAGCCTAGAACCACGCCCCAGCCCCGCGTCCAGCACAGTCGCCCCTCCTCCATGAAGCCCCCCCGATCCCTATGGGGTTCGGTCACACCTCCCTGTGGACTCCACAGACATTCTGCTCGTTCTTGGCACATGGCAGTTCAGAGAGTGAGCTCTGCCGCCAGAGGTCCTGTGTTCAGAGCCCAGCTCCACCAGTTACTGGCTTTGTGACCTTGCACAAGCTCTTTAACCTCTCTGTGCCTTCGAGTATCTGTCTGTGAAATGGAGACAATCATAATAACTGCCCTGTAGGGTTCTTGTGAGGATTAAGTGCATTCACAAAGATACACTGTTTACCTGGCCCCCGTAGCCCTCCGCGTATCTGAGCGATGCGAATTAGAAGTAGAACCGACTTCCTTGTCTGTATCTCTGCTGAGACTCGGAGCTCCGAAGGGCTGCGACGGGGTCTTCTTTCTGTAGCTCCAGGGCCTGGGGCGGGCATGGCACTGTGGAAGGAGAGAATGAGTTTGAAAAGGGAGGGGGCTTGGCCAGATGGAGAGGAGAGTGGGCGTTCCGTGGGGGTCCTGTGGGCCGAGTGTGTGCGGAGTGTGGCATGGAGCGGACGTGGGCCAGAGTTGGGGAGCTGGAGCAGAGGGGGAGAAGCAGGGGGGCCCGGTTGGGGGGGGGCGCTTTGGAAGGTTGCAAAAGAAATTTCAACTAATTGTGACAGTGGCTGGATCTCAAACGTGTGTGTAGGGGAACCCCTGGAAGTCAGGGTGCTCTTTGGGGACACCATAAAATACTCATCAGTTTGGGTGCCATGTCGAAATGGGGAACAATTTGACCAGCAGAACATGTGCGTCCACCTACACACGATAAAACCTCGCCCCTGGGCCTGTCTCCTGGACACTCTGAGCCCAGCACTAAGCCTGTGCCTCCTCCTGGACCCCAGGCAGGGGGTTAGGGAGCACAGCACACGCTGTCAGCCTGTGACTTCCTGTCCGGGTGTTTGATGGCTCTCCATGTCACCTGTGGCACACCTGGGCTGGACAGGGGTGAGTGCCACCCAGGCCTGCTCTGTAAGGGGAGCTGCCCTCTCTGGGCACCGGTGTCTTGGCTGTGACAACCAGGCTGGGCCCTTGGCCAGGGCTGTCCTGGCCGAACACACCAGAGGCCACCTCCCCCTCGGGCTCATTCATTCAACAGCTATTTACTGCCATGTGCCTGGCGCTACTGGTGGCACTGGGGACACAGCAGAGAAAATCCCTGCCTTCCCAAAGAGGGAGCCAGACAAAGCCCAGGATAAATCGTGAGCATGCATGTGACAAGTCGCATGCAAAGTATGCTGCAGAGAAAGATAGAGAAGGAGGGGACAGGAAGTGTTGGAGGGACACAGTTTGTAACAGATGCTCAAGGAAAACACCACTAGGGAGGTGACATTGAGAGAAGGCCTGAGGGACGTGAGAGAGTGAGCCAGGAAGACTCACCTGGAACAGAGTTCTGGGCAGAGGAACAGCACGTGGAGAGGCTGGAGGAGCTGAGGCCGCGAGGGTGAGTGTGGAGGAGGCGATCGGCCTGGTCGGGGCGACTCTGGCCACTCGTCCGTGAAAGGGGCACATTACAGGCCGTTGAGGAAAAGAATGACAGGATCTGAGGTTTTTTTAAAAAAACCACCTTTTTTATTGTAAACTAAAACAGATACTGAAAATCTCACTGAGCAAATTGGAGCTTATTGAATCACTTCATTATAAGGCAAACCACCCTTGAAACTGCCGCCCGGGTCAAGAACTTTGCCAGCCTCGCCAGAGGCTCCTCCATGTGCCCCCTCAAAGTCACAGCCCCTCCCTCCAAAAGGGACCCCTGCTCCGAGGCCTCCTTCTGTGCCTTCGTGGTCGAGCACCCACACTTGTGTCCCCAGACACTAGGGTTTGGTCTTACTCTCTCTCTCTTTTTTTTTTTCCTATGTCTGAGGCTCTTAATCTGCTGGTTCCGCTCTATCCTTTTCTTTTCCATACATCAAAGGCCCTGGGGCCTTTTGACAGCTTGGTTTTCCCAGAGTCTGTGGGGTGCTGATGGCACACTCCTGGTGCAGTTCAGCTTGTTCCCCTGTCCTCTGGATCCAGAGGCCTGATCAGACTCAGCTTCCATCCCCTTGGAAGGACTAGAGAGGTGCTCGGTCCTTCCACCGGGAGATGCGCCGTGGCTGTTGCCATGTGACATTAACAGCAGTGGAGGCTCAGTGTGTCTAGATCCATTCACACGCACACTTGTTTTGGTTGTTAGCGCCAGTCGAGTTGATTCTGGCTCCCGGCAAGCCTGTGGACAGCAGTGCAGACCCCTGCCCTGTATTTTGGCACCATCTTACCTTCTGCCGCTGTATCAGACAATGCTCTGTTGCTATTCATATGGTTTTCATGGCCAATTTTTTTGGAAGTGGCAGGCCAGGTCCTTCTTCCTCATCTGTCTTCGTCTAGAAGCTCTGCTGAAACCTGTCCACCATGGGTCACCCTGCGGGTGTTTGAAATCCCACTGGCATAGCTTTCGGCATCACAGCAACACGCAGCTGCCACAGTATGACAACCGACAGACGGGTCGTGTGGTTCCCTGACCGGAAATGAACCCGGCCGCAGCGGTGAGAGCTCCGAATCTGAACCGCTCGACACCAGGGCCGGCTGTCCCTACACTGGGAGTTCCAGACTGCTGCTGTCCCAGCGCTCTTTCGTGTGTTAACTGGAGTGTTTCCGCCAGGGTAGCTTGTCCTCATCTGCTCGTTGTTTCACACGGGAAAGGCAGATAGAGGGTTCTTTGTTCCCTTTGCTTATCCTGTCTTCCTCTGAAGGTGATCAATTAGCTTTATTTTTCACTATCACCATTGTTGTAGTATGGCTTAGTATCTTCAGTATCACAGATTTCCATATACTCGATGTGTTTCAATCATTTGCAATTGTTATCTCTATTCAAAGTTGAAGATGTCCTCTCTTTGGCCAGTAGAAGCCTTTTCAGTCTGGCTCCTGGGGCCTCTTGGCGTGACCCTCATGGTTTGACGGCTTCCTTGTTACCTAGTCTGACAAGACGTTCCAGCCTCATCTGGAACCTTTTCTGCTCTACACATGGAATCAGCCATCTCCCCACGAAACCCTGTCGGTATTTTCTGTGTTTAGTGGGAAGTGGTATTTCAAGACCATAATTTGGGCACTTGGGGTGTTCACTGCTGCAGGGTCGACCGCCGTTCCCAGGCCTTTTCGGTGGCCAGCGCTACACATGCACACATATGGACGTATAGTACAGATGCGCGTACACACATAGATGCATGCATAGGTACACACCATGTACATGCAGACAGTGTATATACTTAAAGGTAAAATACTTCACAAGTTCATGCCCATACTTCCAGTTCAGACTCGGCACTGCACGATTTTTCCTTAGCCTCTTCCATACCCCAGATTCTTCTTTGTTCCACATCAAGAATCCTGATTCTCAAGGATGCAGAGAATGAAAGAATTGGAATAGCCCATAATTACCCCTTTGCTTTCTCTCCCGTACGTAGGCAACAGTCTCTGAACAACATTACTAATTCTACCCCCACCGATGTGGTTTCTACAAAATGAGTTTTGTGTTTGCTTTCCTCATTCTCCTGCACTTTTAAAGTAGCTGGCTGTGTCTGCTTTGTCAGAGCACAGAGCTGTCACACACCTTACCCGCCCTGCTTCAGCCTCCCTGACCTTTGTTTACACGCATTTACGTGTGTAAGGTGCACCATCAGTCCTTCCGTCAATGTCCCACTGGTCCTTTTGGTCATCTGAAACTCGTTCTCAACAGGCCGCACAGGACAGGCTCATGTGAACAACCGTCTCTGGGTTCTGACTTGGCGATAATAGTTTCTCTCTTCATACTTGAAAGTCAGTTTTGCTGGATATAAAATCCTTGACTCACATTTTCCTTCCTTCCTTCCTTCCCTCTTTCCTTCCTTCTCTCTCTCTCTGTTTCTCTCTTTCTTTCTTTCATTTCTGAGTGTCTTAAATATATTTTTCTTCTGACGTAAAACATTGGACATTGCTATTGAAAAGCCTGATTATCTATTATTTTCCATTGTAAATCACTTAGGTTTTTTGCCTAGATGCCCAAAAGACTTCTTTTCTTTTTCTTAAGCCTAGTAATTTTTCTAGAATGTGTCTTGATGTGGGTCAGTCTGAGCCAATATTCTCAGTTGTGTGGTGTCCTCTTTCAATACGTAGTTTCAAATCATTGTTTTAGTTTCAGGAAAAGTTATCTTGAATTAAAGTTTCTAGAATTTTTTTTGTTACCGTTCTTGGCATTTTTTCTCCAGGGGCTCCCATTATCTGTATATTAGATCTTCATAGCCTGTCTTTAATATCTGTCTCTTCTTCTTGGATGTTTTTACTTTTGTCTTCACTTTTTT